GAACCTGGAGCTAAAGCCTGATGAACTGCAAAAGTGGCTCCGACAGCCACAACCTTTCTTGAAAGTAGAGCGGAAAGAACGTTTCTCTTAACTTAGTACACGGATTCGTTTAGTAAAAGTTCTGAAAAATTACTGCAGGTTAATGCAGGAAAGCCTGGTTCCCTTTCAAAGCTTAATGAAGATGAACTGTGAGAGGATAATCTCTACTAGTACTGAATTCTTAAATGTCAAAAAGAATCAGATTATATCACTGGCTATATTTTGTATCTCCTATAATAAAATTTTGTTTCTATGACACAGTATTATAATAATACAATATAGTATAGCAGTATAGTATTGTTAAATTCATTACAGATATAAAAATGTCTTTATAAACTTATTCTCTTTTCTTTTTTGGACTCATACATTTTAAGCAGTTTTATTTAACCAAGTAGAAACCACCTTTTAAATGCTCACATTCTGCATTTTCAATTGGACTGCATTTTCCATCTAAATACAGCTGGACCAAATTTATAATAAATATTTAAGTGATATCTAGTAAGAAATGCATCACTCACCATTTTGTAATGCAAGAAATACAGACATTAAGTATTTAAAAAAACATATGTTAGCTATAAACCCACCCACTTAAGCACAGTGCAGCCTCCTGCTCAGCCCTAAGCATCACATCATGCTCATCAGTGAGAGTCAACTTGTCCTTAGGAAAAGAGCAGGAGTGTACAAACACAGCAAGATTAAAAACAGGTACTTGGGTCGTGACTTTCTGATCATTTACTTAGTCCTGACTTTAATTCATCCATCCTCTTCAGCAGCAGGTCAAGAGCCAAACAAGGCACAGACCAAGTCTGCTCTGAAGTCTATAAAGTTTGGTTCATTTTTCTGTCCTCTTTGCCATTACACTTCCACATGGTTCTGCCCTCCCTGAGAAAAGCAGCCCAGAAACACAATGAACAGTGCATGTCCTCAGTCTGGAGGCTGCAAGCCCTGGCAGTCTCCTAGTCTTGTAGAAACGTCCAGAATGCTGCCTGCAGACAAAGGGAAGCTAGGCAAACTTCAGCTTCTGGTCATTTCTCCAATGCTGCCTTGGGGATTACCCCACGGTGACTGAATTTGTCAGAAGACAGGACAAATAAGCTCAGAAGCACTGAGGATGAAGGGAGGGCATGTAGTCCTGCCTTCCTTCTCAAAGCACTGTGAGCTAGAAGAGGTTCCTTAGAGCCGTGTCCAGGCAGGATTTGAGTATCTCAGAGAATGAATATTCTGCTCCAAACCACAGCCATGCCAAGGAAACAATCCCAACCTGCTGTTGGAGCCAGATCCTCCAGCCAGGTGTGTCCCAAGCCCCATGTTCCTAGAGGCTGTCCCAGTGTTGGCTGGGATCCTAGCTGCACAGGTGTCTGTGGTCCCTGGCCAGCCACTTTTCATGGCTCAGGAGTCACCCCCCAGCCTGCCAGCCCCCACACGATCTCAGCCCCTCAGCCTGTGCCACCTCCCTGCTGTGTCACTTTACTGTGGACACCTTGCTGCGTGGGTGAGAGCATTCCTCTGACAGGGTCACCTTGGCTTGGCCAATGCAGAGGCCCCAGAGCTTGGCCCAGGATACCACAGGCTCACTTCGGGCAACAGCTGGGAGCAACTCCCCATTTCCAAAACTGTTTACATTTCCAAAACTGTTCTTTGCCCTAACTCTCGCATCCCCAGCTTCTCTGAATTTTGGCCTCCTTTTGCCCATCCAACACAGCACATTAATGGGCTCACGGTCTCAATTTCCATCACCTCCTGCCCCAGCTGTCTCCTATCATCAACTCCCAGCATTTTCCAGTGAAGCAGGGCCAGAGCACTTTCCTATCTCTATTAGAGGAACTCAAAATTACATGATGACATATTTTTCCACCTCTCACAAGCTGCCTTTTTTGCACTTGGGGGTGCAGTGGAGCTTGTCTTTGTTCAGATCCTGCCTTCTTCTGTGCTCACCCACAAATCCGTGGATGACAAGACACAAGACTGGTGCTGGGGTGGGGGGATCAGGTCACCCAAAGTTTTCACACAGCTCCCACTGAACAGGAGCACTGAATTTCCGTGCTCCGGTACTCCATTTTAAACACATCTTTATTTAAGATCAAACTATGACTGCACTGCAAGGAGCCCTTCCTTGGTCAAAATGGTAACCCCAGCTTCTCATGGGGATTCTGCTTGGAACTAAACAACTGATTCCAGTGTTGGAATGTTTCTACACAATTGTGCTCATGCTCCTCAGAGACTGGAAAACATTGTTAGGTGAGGGTGACATAGGGACAGGGGCAGCAGGCTGGGAGAGGTAAATCTGTGCCCCTCACCAAGGTACTCTGCAGAGAGACCCGGGAGGACTTGGCCTTTCTCACCCATTAACCAGCAACAATAGTGCCCCGGGCGATGGGAAGGCTGTGCACAGCTCTCTGTCTGTCCCATTGTTGCAGTAATAGCCTGAGCAAACTGCTGACATTGTCCACACCTAATACCAAGGTGTGATCACAGCCTAATTAGTCTCAGACACAGCTGCAGCAGTAACTTCAAACAAGCTTTGAAAGATATTTAGGCACCTCAAAGTGCAGGTAGGTGCCAAGTGGGATCTTTTAAGCTCTAAATTCTCTTGTCACACCTGGTTAGGGACTGAATGTGTTCAAGCCATAGTTCCTGAAGGAAATCAGGACTGGAGCTGCTTCTCCTGAAATAATCTCAAAGCAAACCTGCTTTTGCTCTGAGCACAGTGCACCAGCAATTCAACATTTTCTTCGATCTTAGGGCTAAGTACACAAAATATATTTACAACAACTAATTGTAAGTACGAAACACAGGAGTGACAATAGTAGAGGGTTTGGTGTTTGTGGGACTCGTGGAGGAGTCAGCATTTGCACAGCACTCTGATGTTTGCCAAGGAGTTTAGGTGATTGATTAGTTTAATATCAATTGAATTCACTTGTGGGTGTTAAAAACATTTCTCCATCTTCTTTGTGTTTTCAGAAAGCTCTCGAAGTCTCTTAAGAGTATTTCCTGCAAGGAATATTTTAAAGCAGAGACACTCATCCTTTTACAACTGTGCAGATGCAGGCTCTCAAGCTGTGCTGAAATCTGCCTTATGTTCCTATGGGCCAGAAGGCTCTGCATGGAAAGAGGACAGTATTTACCTACAAGGGCTACACACTCCCCTGATCAGCATCCCCAGCAGGCACTGCTATTTCTGTCCTGCACAGGACCACCCTATTATGCTTACCATTGTCAGCAGCCACCAAACCAGAGATGAAATAGTTAACCTCAGGGAAAGCTCTGAAGAGGACAGTCATTACAGAGCAATCAAAATGTTATCATAAAATGAAATTTAAAAATAAAATTTAAAAAAATTTAAAAGGAGCTGAAAGGCATTGGGAAGGAGTTTCAGGAGCCAGGCTCGAGCCATGGGAAGAAGGCAGGGGTTTCAGCTCACAGGGAAGCCAGAAAAGCCCATATGTGCTATGGAGTCAGAGGCTGCAGGGTGCTGGTGGCCTCCCTGCTTTTATTTATTACTTATTTGTTTGCCAGTGGCTCTTTGCCAGGACACTTTCGACAAATCCTTCCTGAAGGAGCTGCTTCTGCTTCCCTCTCCATCTGTTGCCCAGCCTTGACCAGCACTTTGCAGGGCAGCAGGGAAGGCAGCGAGGCCAAGGCTCTGGTCTGGCATCAGAGTCAGTCTTTCTGCTTCCTATTTTTCCCACCTTCTCCCCTCTCCTCTCTGAATAAATACTGCAAACCACCACAACAGCACCTTTTCTCCCAAACAGCATATTTTGCTGTCTCTCTTCTGCTCAGACAGGCAACCTGACCAGCTCTACAGAATTGTAAATCTCCACACGGGGCAAAGTGCTTTCTCATACCTTGTTTCCCCACCCAGTTTTCCCTTCACAGCCTGTTCCCCCATGAACCCTCTGAAAGGGGGAAAGGCTGGCATGTGCCTCAGTACTGGAGATGGTGGCTAAACAGTTAAAAGGAAAAAGATGTTCATGCAGAAATAACATCTGTCAGCCAGACAAAGGTCTCTCTCTCTCATTCTCCTGGAAAACACTCCTTCTGTTCAGAAGGTTTCTGAATAGCAAACTCACTGTGCTGCTAGTGAGAATGGGGAGGCAAGCAAGGGAGAGGGCAGGGCCTTCATCCATGGACAAATGTGGATGAAGTTGAAAACTGTGGGAGAGCAGCTTGGCCAGAGCATTAGAATGACCTACCAGCCCTCTCAAAATCATCAGTATAACAAAACTGGAGGGAGAAATGGGGGGACGTTCCTCCTCCTCCCCCCTGCCAGCACAAAGCATATCTAACACCCTCAGGTGTAGCTCCCAGAAGGAGAGTTCTGTGGCCAGGATGACGAGGGGACGAGCACAAGCCATGACATGACACAGCGTTGGAGTGATATTTTATCTCCCATCACAGGCCAGTGGCATAGGCCAGTGCATTGGGAGAGGGACTCTGAGGGGCTGGGGCTCGCTCCCTGCTTCTGCCATCAAATTGTTCCAGCAGCCCAGGGAAGCCCCCGTGCCGTGCTGGGCCTCAGCCACACATCACGCTGGCAGACACAAGCATTAGTTACAAACACTTTGGTACGTGGTCCAAGATAAAGGCGGGCAAACAGCGTCTGAACAGAGCCAAGTCCCCAGAAATCTCCCACAACACCGACCCAAGCCCGTCCGTGCCTCCCGGAGCCGCAGAACGGCCCTGGCGAGCTGTCCCAGGGCTGCCCGAGGAGGTGCTGCCTTACCCGCCCAGCGAGCATCCCCCGCCGCAGTCGCAGCCGGCAGGCGCAGCTCGGCGTGGGCAGGCCCGGCCCGGTCCCACGCACGCTTCCCGCCCACCGCATCCACCGCACCGCCGGCTCCTGCCCCGGGTCCGTCCTGCCCCCAGTCCCACTCGCTGGAGCCCCGCCGCCCCGGGGCCGAGCCCCGCAGCGCGGACCGCGGCTCCCGTGCTGCCGCCGCCTCCCGCCCCGCACTGACCTGCTGGGGGGCACCGGCCCCGCTCGCTCCGGGCCCTGCGCCCGCCGCCTCCCTCCTCCCCTCCCCGCGGTCGCCTCGGGCTGCCGGCAGCGGCCCGGGCCCGGCACCGGCAGGGGAAGGGGCCGGGGCCGCCGCCGCCCCGCCCCCCGCCCGCCCCGCTGCGGCGGAGAGGCCGCGGTCCGCGGGCTGCGGAGCCCGGGCGCTCCCCCCGCCTCACCGCGCCGGGCCCGGGCCTGTGCCGGGAGCCGCAGCCGCCCCCCGGCCCGAGACGGGTCGGGCAGCCCCCGCCGCTGTGCGTACCGTGCGCCCCGCGGCATCCGTGCGGGGAGGAGCGGGCGAGGCGGCGGCCCCGGCGCTCGGAGCGGGGAGCGGGCGGGGAGCTGCCGGCACAACGCCTGGGTGCGGGGTCTGCGCGTCTCAGGCTATTTCTGGGTGTGAGTGAGGCTGTGCCCGCCGCAGCCGCCGCTCCGAGCAGCTCCCGCGGCGCTCGGGCTCCTCGGGAAGGCCGCCCGGCGTGTGCCCGGGGCGAGCGGAACGGGCCTCAGGGGACATCAGCCACGGCTCGTGGGGCACACGGGGGCAGCCCACGGTGGTAGGGGCAGGTGGGTGGGTACATTTGAAACCTCAACACCGTTTGCAGAACCTCTCCCCTTGATGAAACATTGCTCAGATGCTTGGCAGAGGTGGCAGCAGGGGCGGTGGCTAAGAAACTTCCTAGGGGTCCTGTTCCCGCAGAAGGTCTCTCCCTTCGTCAGGAATGACCGGCAGGAGAGAGAGGAACCTGACCCACCAAGTGTAAAGGGACACTGAGAACCTTGTTTTCCATGAGCATCCCAGCCTCCTCCCCATTTCTCCAATCCATCAGAATGCAGGCAGTGCATTCTGTGCTGGAGAAATCACCTGCCGCACCCTCAGGGCTGCAGTATTGGGGGTCTTGCACGGCCAGCACTGTTCCCAGGTGATGGTCAGAGACACACCTGCAGTGGGCTACCAGGGAACAGTCACCAGAATGTTACTGAGGAGAAGTCTCAATGACATGCCAAGTGCTTCACTGCTCCCACCTGGTATGGGGGACCTGGGGGTTCCACATCTGCGACTTCTCCAGATGCTGAGTAAATAGTGTTGTTCTGCAGCATCCTCTGAAGGCTTGTTTTGGCTCATTTAATCTCTTTTGGGCTGAAGAAGCACAGTCTAGTGAGTAAAGTCCAGCCATTTAAGTAAAGGACCTTCCAGTCTCACAAGCACAGGTGTGAAAATCACCAGGAGAAGCATCAGGAAATGAACATAATATAACAGCTGTCAGCAAAGAATCTTTGTTCATACTGCTGGTGGAAATGGCTGGCACAGCTCACACACCATGAGGAACCAAGGGGTGAAAGCCTGGTGTCCCCTGTAGTGTCTTTCTTTTTTTAGGCTCCCCAAGGCTGAGGTCGCACTCAGCTGACTTCTGGTCTGCTGGGGCATGGTGCAGAGAACAGGCTGGCTACAACATGATGTCTTTTGATAAACCTTCAGTTTCATGTCAATGAGTGTCGCATCAATGAGATCTTTATCTCCAACCAGGAGCTAACATAGCCCAATCAACACATACCTGAAACTTTAGGGAACAGCTGAGTAAAAATAAATTTCCCAATCTCTTTCACTGGTATCTTTAGCCATATGTATGATGAGCAGAAGCCAGACAGCTTGCCCTCTCACTCCAGACCAGCCAGTGCCAGTCCCACAGCATCACTGAGGCTTGGAGACCTTGACTGCTGCCGTGCATCAGGAGACACTGTCTACCTCAGCAGAGAGCAGAGACCACCGTGCCAGCTTAGTAGTGGGAGCTTGTGGAAGAAACAAATCCATGGGGATTTTCTAGACTGCCTCATGACTGTGATCTGCCTCTGGGTCCCCAATATTTGATCCCCTGCTTCTGAGCAATGAAGAAGCATGGCTTCTCTGACTTACTGAACTGGAAGCCAACATGTTTCATCACTTAAATTGGCAAACACTGCTGGGAAATGTTGACTTCTGAGCAGATCTGGCAACCTTGTTGCTGGTGAGCTGCCCCCGTCCCAAAGGAACACCCTCTTCCCTTCCTTTGGCCTGACAAGACATCGGGGATCGCACAAAGCTGGACAAACCTTGCCTGTGTGTAAGTCATTCCCTGGAGATACTTGTTTCTTCCTGCCTCTGGCCCAGCCTGTGCCTAGTTGGAATAGAATAGAATAGAATAGAATAGAATAGAATAGAATAGAATAGAATACAAAAAAGGAAGTACAGAGCAACCCCAAAAGGGAGAAAAACTCCTTCATTTTCTGTTTTATACTGGGCCTCAGTGGCCATGGTTTTGGCCCAAGAAGAGCCTTACAGGTGCGGTCTCACAAGGGCTCATTGTTTTTAAGTCCTCCACATGTCTGAGAACCATGAGTGGTGTGTGGCTCAGCTCCAGCTCTGTGTGTGAAGGAGCACAATACCTCCTTCCTGCATTGCTTATAACCCTGAAGCAGTGAGGGAGAGACCTGGAGCTGCAGCCAGAGGCAGCAGGAGGATGAGGCACAGGGAGCTGTTGGGCAGCTGTGACTCTAGCACTGCATCCTGCTGTTTGTATGAATCTCCCAACTGTAATTTCTCTTTTCCATCACTTATGGCTTTAGTATTTATGCTGATTTTCTCCAGGCAGACTGAGGGACTCAGGCTGAATTTGTCCAGACACATTTCGAGCAAGATGGTGCAAATGTTCCTTAGAATGACATCTGTAGAAAAAGGCTATTGTGTCTATGTTTTTAAAAAAGCTGTTGGTTTATCCTTGGGCAGCACCAGTATCTCTGAGCTTCAGAGAATAAATAAATGGTAAATAAATACTGGCAAAGGTGTGGCCTTTAGCTGGAAATGTGCCTTTGAATACTCCTATGGAGCTGATGCTGGTGAAACTGCAAAACTGCAATTTGCCCAGAACGGTGGCAAACTTGAAGGGTCAGGCAATGAAAACACCCTTTAGTCCTTGATCCCTGCACCTGGAGCCAGCTAGACCATGTTTGTGTCCCAGGCTGACAGCCCAGCTTGGCATGGCACATGGCTCCGCCAGGACATCCCCATGCCAGCTGCCCCTCACCAGGATGAGTGGGCCAGCTGGAGTGTGGTGAGCACAGCATGCCAGCCCTGCAGGCAAACATCAAAGGGAGCCCTGATCTCCCTGGTGCAGAGGCGGGAGCCAGTGCAGGGCTCCATGGGGCTCTGCAGAGTGGGCAGCCCTGGATACAGAACCTGCGAGATGAGGCTTGAAATGGGCACAAAATGGCATTGCACAGTCCTGCAGGTGGCCCCTGACTTTCCTATCTGCAAACTGCTTCTAGGAGAGAATTACTTATTTCCTTGGAGGGCTGATAGAATCATTACATTATTTTCATGCTGCAAAAGCAGGAATTAATTTCTCCTTTTCCCTGGACAAGTGGGGGATTACCCCCTGGGAAGAAATGGAAGCTCACACCTGCAGAGGTCGGAACTACGCTCTCCCCTGCGTGGTCGGGTTCCCCCGGCACGGCCCTGCAGCCCTTCTGTGCCCGCTCCAGTCCCGGCCGTGGGCGCCCGGCATTCCTCGATCAGGACTGCGGAGCCCCGGGCGGACACCCGGGACACGGTGTGAGGGGCTGGTGAAGCCCGGGCGCTGCCAGGGCTGCCTCCCCCCGGAGCTGCCGGCCTTTCCTAGCGCTGCCTGCCTCCTTCCCGGAATATCTCCTGCCTGCCGTAACTAAGGAAACGCAGCTCCTGTCGGCAGCAGCTCCTGGCGGTGCGCGCATCGCAGGGCGGGGGAGATGCGGGTACCGCCCCGGGCCGAGGCAGCCCCAGCGCCAGCCCGGCCGGGGAACGCCGGGCTGCCCCAGCCCGCTGCCAGAGCCCGCATGAGGGGCAGCAGGTCCAGCACAGCCCCGACATCGGGCAGGGCTCTGTGCCCGGGCAGGGCTCTGTGCCGCACAAGCGCAGCCCCCTGCGCCGAGAGGGCTCTGTGCCCTCCACTGGGGAACGCCTGGCGGGGACCCCCGGCTCCAGGAAGCGTCCCCCTTCCCACAGGAGACCGTGGGACTTAAGCTGTGCAAAAGGAGAAGCTAGAAGAGCTCCAGCAGAGGCTGAGCCACCATCACACCCCCCACCTCAGTTCCGTTAATTAAAAAAGTTAATTTCTTAATTTTCAAGTGCTCACCCCGGACCTTCTCAGGGCTCTTTGAAGGCAGCTTGCCATTGGGAATAGCTGAGAAACTGGGGCCGCAGCTACTATGCTGGGAAATCGTCTTTTCCCCATGCCAGCTCCCTTGTGGCTTGGTGTCTGCATGCTTATAATTTCAAATCTGCTTCAAAAAATCACCCACCACCCAGGCTGCGTGACCATGCACTAATCAGTTGCATTAAAATATGCTAATTGGCTCTTCCCAATTGCCAGTCAGGTGGGACAGTGTGGTTCAGTACTTGCAGGCACAGGATTTCTCTGTGACTCTGTTTCTGTTCCTTGGCTGACCTGGGTAAGCAAGATATTCCCATGGTGCTGCCCATTCACCACCAGCCCTGCTCCTGTCTGCTCTCAAAGCCTAGGACGTGCCGTGTCACTTCCCTGGGGAGATGGACACAGAAAGGAACATGGGTTCATTTACTCTGTGTTAAATACATCTCCCTCTCTTAGACAAATGTGTATGAGAGAGAAACAAAATAAATACCTGGCTATATGGAGCTTGAAATGAAGGTCATGGGTCAGAGTGAAATGTTTTCTGGAAATCTCAGGGAAATGACCCCTCTGCTTCAAGAGGTGCAACTGGTAATTCGTGACGTAGGAGAAAAAGATCCAGGCTGAGCACTTGACCTTCTGAAGCAGTAAATGGCATTTTTATGATGTTTAGAGCAATGAAAGACTGATTGCAGATAGATGAGGGAAAAGTGGTGGTAGTTTTAGTGAGAATGACAGTGGAATATAGGGAAAGATGTAAGCTAACAGGCTGAGCTAGGAGAGGCAGTGAGGAAGATGCACATCATGTAATGAACCATACTATTCTGGCCGAATGGGGCTCTGCATGCAGGCAGTGTCTCTGCCCACATGCCAGCCTTCCTGGGAGCAAACACTCCATGCACTGATGTTCTCCCTGGC